GTAATTATTTTTTATTATTTTATTTAATAATAGTCAAAAACATTTTGAGTAGTAAAATTTACAACTTTTTACGTCATTTTAAAGAATGTAATTTTACATAACAAAACGAAAAAACTTAGCGAAATCGGTCAAATAGTTCCTGAGAAATAAAAAAGCAGCATTTTTAAAATTTGATTTCTCAGGAACTATTTGACCGATTTCGCTCAGATTTTGAATTTTCTATGCTTCTTTACATTTTCTAAAATGACGTAAAATTTGTGTGCCTTTCAATTCGACTATTTTTATACATAAGAATAAAATATAGTAAATAAGCATTAACTAAATGTGTTATTTTGCATTGAAATGATAAATCTTTGGATAAACAATTTTTATAAATGTGTCAACATTTTTAAATTCGCTTTAAAAGTTCTACAGATGTGGCTAAATACGCAAAAAATTAAATTAAAATTAAGGGCTCCGAACTTTGGACTGCTCTCTTGACCAAACTATGGGGATCATATCCTGCAGATTGCGGCTACTCGTTTTATTTTGGGGATCAAGAATCCAAATTCGTCAAGTTAAAAAAAAAAAGCATGTTTATTTAATGAAAGAACGTTTTTGTGTCTGATTTCATGATTTAAAATGTCGTCTATACTAATTAATTAGCATATTTCAGGTAATACCTTCAAACCTTTAAAATTGATTCCTAGAATGTAAAGATCAGATTATTAGATCAAAAGCTTTTCAGAGTGGTCTGTTTCTTATTTTTCGCACTGTATATAGTTGTAAATATAATGTAAAAACTACCTATAAATCTGGGTGGTTGGTTGGGTCGAGTGCAGGTGAAATTCGATTTGCAACCATCTTCCCGTTCTAGGTTTTTCCTGATCTCATAATGAACAAAAATAAAAATTACGAAAAATTCGAAAACTTGGGTGTTTTTCTAAAGCGTTGGGCGAACGTAAAAAATTAAATTATTTATCAGAATTTAATTTATTTAGGTTATTCAAACCCTCAACGACGCATTAAAAACTGAACCATCTTTGCTTCAGAGGATATAGCCAACCTGAAGAAATTTTAAAAAGGCGCGATTTCCTCAAATTTTCCGCAATTTTAAGCAAACGGAAAATATTTATCGATTATAAAAATATTTTATTAAATTTTTATTTTCATTACAATTCGCAATTTTTCCAAATGAATTTTTGGAAAGTTGCCAATTGCCATATATCAAAATGAAATTTGGAAATTCAGATCGCTTTAGCGAGCCATTTGAATTTCCAAAATTCATTTTTTTTCCTATCCCCTCTACTGTGAAAGTCCAGAATTGGCAAAGAGATTATTCTGCAGTATTTGAACGGCGCATACGAAATATTTGAATTAGTTATATTACAAAGTATCGATGTTTGTCTTAATTTCATCACAATTTTTTATTTTATTTTAAGGCTCTCGGTAACCTTGTATAGAAATAAATACAAATGAATAATTAAAAATCAAAACAGTTAGAATTAAAATTGTACAAATTATACGTGACCGGAAAACTGATAGGTTACAGAACAATTCCATTTCTTTGTGCTAAAATAAAATAAAATAAGTAAATATTTTTTAAAAATTTTAAGCACATTTTCAAAAGAAAAAAAAAACCTTGTTGTTTTAGTTATTATTTTTTGACGAATTCCAGAAATTATCAATAATTTTAATAAACACACTAAGAACTACTAAATGGGAGTTTTAAATGCATCTCTAGCAATTTTTATATTTAATATTGAAGCAATGAAGACGTTGATGAATTAAAAAAAGAAACTCACTCAACGTAATGAAAGAACAGAATTTATTAAAGAAAATTGAATAAATTAATCTTCATTAAGCTTAGTTTCTTAAGTTTCAAATGGAAGTAAAGACATTGTATTCGTAAAATCTTTAGTAAATATAGAAAAAAAAATTAAGATAATATTCTTCTTTAATTTACATAAATGATTTGTGGAATATTTAAATATTCTCTTAATAGCGTATGCACCATTTATAAATATTTAATCTTAATTAATTAGTGAATTCTAATTAATTTAATCACGTTTGACAGAAAATTTAAATTAATGCTATTCGAATTTTGATATTAAAAATATATAAGTATATATGTGAAATACTTTAACAAGAGCTTTCTGTACTTTTCTAACTAAACTAAGCAATATTTCTAGTCAAGATTTTTTTTTTAATTTTAAATTAAGAACTTAAAAAAAAAATTTTAGAAATATTTTTGATTTGTGAGTCATAATCGAATCATTTTGGATTTGATTTGTGAGTCATATAATTAACTATATTTAAATATATGATTATTATAATTTATTTAGATATCAGCTATTATTTAGCTATTATTTAGATTTTTTTGGAGCTGACTATCACTGTTATCAATGAAAAGTGTTAATCATTTTAAATTAAGAACTTTAAAATTTTTTGAAATATTTTTGATTTGTGAGTCATAATCGAATCATTTTTGATTTAATTTGTGAGTCATAAAATTAACTATATTTGAATATATGATTATTATCATTTATTTAGATATCAGCTATTATTTAGCTATTATTTAGATTTTTTTTGAACTGACTATCACTGTTATCAATGAAAAGTGTCAATGATTTTAAATTAAGATCTTTAAAATTTTTTGAAATATTCTTGATTTGTGAGTCATAATGATAGTCATATATTCATGTATAAATAATTTTTTTGAGCGGGCTATCATTGTTATCAAGATTCAAAATTGAAGTTAGTGTTCTATTACTTACAAAATAAGTGTTAAAAAGAAATTAATTTAATCTTCAGTATATGCTTAAAAATAACATGCACAGGAAAATGACTTTACATGGGAGACTTCCGAAATCTTACCACTCTTCACATTTAATTTTTAATGAGTCACAAATCACTGACTATTACATTTGAAATATTTTAATAACAATATACCGTTATTCAGATATTAATATTAATTTTTTTGGTAATAATATTTGTGTAGTATACTTGCCAACTTGCTCCGAATAGTGGACAAATATTTTCGAGTGGCAGTCTTTTAATGTCTTTTTCAAGTTTTTAGTAAATTCGATTTATGCGGTTTTTTACTCATCACTACTCTTAAGTAATTCAAAGGTTTAAGTGATATGCTACTTTGTAACAGTTAAGCCGTATTGAGCCTTGTGAAATGTGGGCAAAATTAAACGAAAATCTGAATATTTTTTTTCTTTTTGTTTTTTGGTAATATTTTGTTGAATCTGAAGCAGTTGGCATTCCGAGAAAGTACTGAAAACAAATCGTTATTGTTAGGTCTGCATGTGGTAAGATTTACAATACAAACGACACTAAACACACAAGACACACAAAACGACGCAAGACAAACAAAATATCTCATGGATGCCGGCTAAAAATGACGCAAGCCACGCAGAGTATCGCATGGATGTTGGCCAAATACGACGCTTGTGACACATTACTTCTCATGGGTGTTGGCTAAATACGATGCTAATGTACACAGGGTGTCGCGTGGATACTGGTTAAATTCGGTGCTTTTAACAAAAGAGTTAAAATTTTGTTTAAAAATATCTCCTTTTGTTTACTACTACTGGAAAAATATTTCGTACAAACCACAGATGCAGGTTATGGAAATTGTAACATCAGAGCTTAATGTAGTGGTTACAGCGTCCTATAAATAATTAAAGAAAACTATGATAATTTTCACCAATTTGTAAAAGAAGAAATTTTGATTACTAAAGATATGTTAATCATTTAAAATATAGTTCAGAATTCCATGATTCACTGCAGTGCTATTTTTAAAATAAAGTGAAATTAATAAAAATTTTGATAGTTTTAAAGATTAGTTGACTACAAGTTTTAATTTTTTAGTGTGAAGCTACCACCAGAGTATTAAACTCCAATGCGTTTATAGTTGCTAACAAAATTAGTGAATTCCTCCCCTTTCAGATAGAAGAAAGACAATAAGCACACACTTTTGACAACTATATGTATTCAACTTAAGCAAATTAGTAAGACCTAACAATTATGCAGGGAATTTTTCACTTGATGGCCAAATTAACATATTTGAACTGTTCGCTACCACTTTATAATTCGAATCAAAAATTTTAAAGAAGGAACATCTTGAGAATTGTAGTCATCGAATGAATGTCAGCACCGAGCCAAATTGAACTATCTTTATTATTTTTAAAAAATAAAACGTGGTTGATAAAAAGTTTAAAAGATACAAACTATTAAAATTTTTGAAAGTTAGTTCAGAAAGAGTTAATAGTTCGTGACTACCAGATCTTATAACTTACAGAAGTCTGCTATAACGACAAATAGCCATAGCAGATTAACTGTGATTGTAGTGAACTTGTCATTTTAAGCAATAACATGTATTAAATGTTAAAAAAAGCTATAAAAATGAAATGAAGTAGGTATATCTACAGGGATAGCACAGAACTAAACATACAAAAAGTGGTGATTAATGAACAGCAAAACTCTAGTAAGAGCGATTAAAATTTCTAACATATTTCCTTCAGTTGACTGTTGAAGGTGTTTGTATCGGTTTATTAGAATTACATACATTTGCAAGTTTAAAACTCTTTGTCAAATCGAAAGATAGATAGCCCAATATAGGTAACAGCTGGATTTGAACCAGCTACCTCCATGCTTTGCACAGCGTTTAACGGAGGATTGAGGAAAGTGTTTTTAGTTTAAATATTAATAATTTGCAATGTAAGTCACAGTGGTAGTTACGATTGGATAATTAAATGGATTAAATAAATAAAACTGAATTGGTCTCTTCCACTTCTTACATTTTTTGTCGCTCGTAGCATATCTGACATTATCAGTAGACATGGCATGATTTAAATCAAGTGATTTAAATTACGCCAACTCTTCTTAGCATCCTGTTGAATTTGCCACAAATTTAGTTCATTTGGTATTTTTCTCCAAAATCAGTGAAATATTTTAATTTTTAAAAACAATTATTTTAAAATAAAATAATAATTTGAACCATTTCTTTACAGCGGTCCAGCACGAAAGAGGACCACGAAAACCTAAATTTAAAGACAATTCAGACGGACCTATCAAACCGAATCACCATCACCACCACCCGATACAACTAGGGCACCCGCTCACTCATCACCACCGACTCAGCGCCCCGGCACATCACCACCACCACCAGACCTACACAGCCAAACTGGCATTCGACATGTCGAAGCTGCCTTCTTCGCTGGCCGCAGCCGCTGTTGCAGCTGCAGCAGCCGGGGCTGACGGAGGCGGTTCCGGGTTATTCGGTTCGCCGCCCCCACCCAAGGATGCTGCCTCGTCTGCTGCGGCCGCCTTCCTTGGGGCGTCCTCCGCAGGGCTCCTCCAGATGCTACTCAACGCCGAAAAGTCTCAAGAACTGATATGGAACAGCGTGAAGCTCAGCGCCCTTGGAGGAGGGGTCCTCTCCAAATTGCCAGAACATCCACATTTCGCTGGATTCCCTCCACCGCCGCCTCCCCATCCTCTGTGTCCCCAACTGATGTCTCCACCACCCTCATCAGAATCGTCAGGAGGAAATGGTGGGAGGAGTAGTGGGGGACTTTTGGGATTTGGAGGGGGACAATTGTCCTCTAATAGGGAATCTGTTCAAGAGATTACGGCTAGACTACTGTTTATGGTCATCAAATGGGTCAAATGCTTGCCTACATTTCAAACTTTGACAAAAACTGACCAGGTAAGAAATCCTTTTTTTTTTATAAATATTTTAAAAGATCTTTAAAAAAAATTAAACGATTTCAAAAAAATAATTTTTTTCTAAAAAACATCAAAATATATTTTGATAGCCATTTGTTGCTTTTTAAAATACTAAAAATCATTCTTGTTATTTGAGAAAATTTAAGGAATTAATACTTCAGCTATTAACATTCAACACAATTTAAATATTAGCAGAATTTTACTCTCTGCACTTGAGGGGCTTTTAAGAGTTAAAAATGACAGACACAATACTATAAGTTTGTTTGACAAATTTTCCTACTTGCACACTTTTCATAAAATGACCACTAAATAAAGTGGTTATTAATCATTGAGATGTGAAAATTATAGTAATTACCCATCTCCTCCTATATTAGAAAGCATCCACACAGTTTTTTATAAGTATTCTGCGCAGACTATTTAAAAAGTGAACCAGTTGTGTGCATTTATCCCAATTCTATTTTGCAAATAATTGAGAGAAATTTATCATAGGTATTTGAGAAATGAATGTGTGGTGGCTGACAAGTGAATAAAGCAAACCAATCTTATTCATAAATTAAACAAATTTTTATACATAGATTTTCTATTGAATACTTCTTTCCTAAACTGGACTATCTAAAATTCTAAAAGAAACCGCGTGGAAGCTTTCAGTTATAGGAGGCCTCTCGCCAAGGCTTTAATTTATTATGCTTTTTACGAAATATTTTACACAGTGGTAAACAGTTTAAAGGCAAAGCTTCCAGAATTCTCAATAATTTTGTCAACATTTCAAGAACCATGGGTGAAAGCCCTTATATAGCAAGACGGAAAAGAGAAAAACCTGGTACGTAAAACATTTCATTCCAGCATTTTTTTCGAAAAAAATGAAATATCTGTAACTATCAAGATTTCTTTTATAATTCTGGCATATATATAAAACTGCTTCTTTTCAAAGATAAAGTAGATATTCTTGAAAAATGTAAAAAAAGAATAAGTAAACTCCTCCCCAAAACTAACTATAACTGAAATGGTTTTACTACCAGCCTTTCCTCTTTTCCGTCTCGCTTTCACCCCTGTCAAGAATCGTCACACTACAGAGCTTGAATAAAGAGACGATTCAGATGAACTTTTAAATCATTTACAAGTAGTTGTGAGTGGTGTGAAGAACAACTTTAACTCAAACTTATAAGACAAAGAATGATGCATTAAAACATAGACTTAGCTACCACTAGAAAAAAATTCTTCCAAAACGAGCACATAAGTTTGCATCTCTGGTTAAGCTAAGCTATGCTGGAATTTTTTAACTTTAAGTTAGTAGTTCATTACTGTGTAAATGTTCACAACAATTTTAAACTACAGATGACCAAATTAGTAAATTAAAGTTTAAATTTATATGCAGTTTCTCTTGCTTGTTAATACTTTATTTTGTTTTTACAAAAAAATAGCACTTTTTTCTAAACACTAAAAACCAGTTAGTTGGGATTTCCAATATATAGTTTGGTTTCTATATTGTTATGAATATTGTCAACGCTTTGTTATTTTTGGAGCATAAAGTTTCACTATTTACGCACCATTGAATTTTACTCAAATGGTCATCATTGCTCATAAGAAAAAACTTTATCCAATGATCCAAAAATCTTTTTCTGTCTTAAAGATTCAACATACATGCTTCTTTCCTTTGAGCACTCATAAAAAAAAAGACTTCAAATAGTAACCGAAATTTTTTTCTGACATTAACAATTTTACCGATTTTCTTTTTGTCACTCATAAAAAAAAACTTTCTCGAGTAACCCAAAAATTATTTTTTAACGTAACGATTCAAGCATTCAAGTCTCTTTCTTTTTGTCACTCATAAAAAATATTTTATTCAACAACACAAAAATCATTTATTGACTCATAAAAATGATTTTTGTCAGTAACCCCAAAATCCCTTTTAGGCGTTAAAATTCAAACATTCAAGCCTCTTTCTTTGTGTCGCTCATAAAAATGATTTTTGTGTAATCCAAAATTTCTTTTCCGACGTTAATGTTCAAGCATTCAAGAGTCATTCTTTTTGTCGCTCATAAAATTTTTTTTTGTCAGAAACCACAAAATCCTTTTCTGACGTTAATGTTTGAACATTCGAACCTCTATCTTTTGTCGCTCATAAGAAAGATTTTTGTCAGCAACCCAAAATTTTTTTTTTTTCTGACGTTAAAATTCAAGCATTAAAGCATCTTTCTTGTCGCTCATAAAAAAAGACTTTAGACAATAACCTGAAAAGCCTTCTCTGAAGCAATAATTCAAGCAAGTTGTTTCTAATTACAGTTACTACAGTCAAGACTCAGAATTAATAGTGTACTACCTAAATATTTCCAAGTTTCGCCAACTCTCCCAAAAATAGGCGTGTCTTGGCAGAAATCTCTTATAAAGCCTCGAAAGCAGACACCTAACTTACCGAGAAATTTCAACACCCTATTAACCAGGGAACGCTTTGTTCTTTGGCAACAACAAGTTACTGTAATTAAAGTTAAACCCACATTTCATTCTAGTTTCCGGGCTTCCTAATTTTAGAACAATTTGATTTTGAATTCATAGCACGCTCATGCTACCAGCATCAATTTTAAAACGTAGAAAAATAATCCTATGTTTGTTCCTACCTTATTTGAATATCAAATTTCGCCAAGGCACCGCCATCAAGGTACACCACGTGACTTAATAACTCTTATCCTTAATAACACTTATCCTTAATTATTCTTACATTTTGTTTAAATTTCATGTTTTATTTGAATAGAGGGCTGTAACTCTGATGGTAAAATCATTTCATTTCTAGTTTGTTTTCGTGAGAAGTTAAATGTACATAACTTATTTGATATTTTCTACAGTTCAACTATAATTTTCTTTAAAGTATCGAATTCGCAAAACTTCATATCTATAAATTAAGTTCTGATTTTCAGCAAGCCAATTTTCGCAGCACCCTATAAAAAAGTGAATTGTGGTAGCTACTTTGCTTTAAACTAACAAATAAATATTCGATTTCTTCTGAAACTAACAAAATATTTGATTTGAGATGTCCTATAATTAAAAAAAAACAGCGTCCTCAGTTTTTATAACTTAATATAATTATTTAACTTCTAAATATGGCGTCGTAGTCACATTAATTCGTAGCATTCAAAAATAGGCGAAAAATATTACACCACTATTTATTTTTATAGGACCTTACGAATTATATATATTTTTACCAGTTAGATGGTAAATATTTCATAGAGTAATAAACGATTAAAAATATCAGAATTTATGCTGTTTTTTTTTGCCTAGATTACGAAAGCTTTCGAAAAATTTGCTCGTGATGGTGTGGAAAATAATTTAAATACAAATTTCAAAAACAAAGAATAATACACTGAAACATAAACTTAGTTACCACTAGAGGAAATTTTAACCCCAAAACGTGGAAAGTTTACAGCCCCACTAATGCAGGGCTCGTAGCGTGCTCAAAATTTTTTTTAAAGTGATAGAAAAAGTTAGAAAATAAAATTTATTTTTATTAATTCAGGTTCAGCACTACTTTTACTTTTACGAAGTATACTTATCTAGTAACAAAATCGATTTTTGTATCTTTTTTATTAAATTAGAAGCTAAGAAAAATAAGATTTTAACCTTTTAGCTAAAATATTATCACCACTTTAAATGTAAAAATGAAGTCTTCGGGAAAATCCGGAAGAGTTGCCAACTAGTTAGATAACAGTTTCACTTTTAACAATTATTTTCTTTAAGACGACAACATAACTACAATGCTCACAATGGATAGATGAAATAATTTAAGTGATGTATCAAGAAATATATTTTGTTTTTTTAAGAAGTTTATGATAAAACATTCCACATTAATACTTAAAATCACATACGTGAACACCCAGTGAGTACACCTTAAACTCGTACACTGCCTACTACTACGCTTTTTGTAAAATATTTCATAGACAATTAAAAACTAAAACAGAAATCTGACGTAAAATAGAGAAAAAATACTTAACCCTCTCGTTTACATAATGACCAGTGTGTACGAGAGCTGCATTGAGCCGGTATTTATATGATGACCAGTGTGTACGAGCTCTGTATTGAGCCGTAATTTAAATGATGACGTGTGTGAACGAATGTCGTATTTAGCCGGAGTCAGCATGATACTGTTTGATAACCAACCCAATTTACTTCTAACTGCCGATGGCTAATATTTAATTCAAAATATTAGATTAACCCTTTGCACTCGAAATCCTTTCAACTGTCAAAAAATGACTTAATAGGGAAAAGATATATAAATAAATAGACTAGGAAATAGCCAAAACAAATGTGAAAAAGGACCAAGAAATTATAAAAATGACCGAAAATTTTAAAAACTGACCAAAAAATTACGAAAAAAAAATTCCTTATAAAAGAAAAAAAAAAGCTACTAGAATGCTAAAAATATAAAATAATGCAATTAACATCCATATATTAGCCCTGATTATGAGAGAGTGTTATTTAATTTTTCAAAATATGAATGAAGTGCCGTGCTAAGCCTTGTTCATTCAAATGCATGCGCTTTTTGTTTTTTTAAAAATGCACGAATCAGCTTTCGATGCCATTTCACCCCGTAGTCAAATATCGTGCTTGGCGTTAAGTACTTGGCGCTTATTTTTTATGCATTCAGTCATACATTTTTACCATTTTCTCGCTTTGAAAATGCAAATGGAATGTTGTTTCTTTTTATTACTTAAAACGAAGTGGACGATTGTTATAAGCATTTTCCTTAAGTGTGGAAAATATTCCGTAGCCAAGACGTAATTGAATATGAAACGAAAGCACTGAATATATTATGTTTTGGCGGTGGAAAGAATAACTTCTCTCCGCATGGCGAGGGGAATCGCTAATGGGTTCCGAATGGAAAAAGGTGACAGTTATGAAATATCATGAGATAATTCTTCTGTTGAAAAATATATTATGATAAGGTGATATGGCAAAAAATTTAATGCATCTTGTTTGAGTTAACGTTTTTATTTTTGAGATGCCCCAAGCGGAGCTGCATCGTTTTCTATTAAGATTTTTTTTTAATCGGCTTGTAATCAAAAATTTATGTTTTCAGAATTTTTTTCTAATTTTTCATCGTAGTAATGTTCATCTAAATGTTCATCGTAGTAATGGATATTCCCGAAAAGAAGCTAAAAATAAAATTTATTTGTTGCCAGTTTTTACTCTTTTCCGTCTTAATGTATATGGACTTTCAACCCTGAATGGTGAGCAAATTATGTTTAACACGTTGAATGCCACCTAATTTTACATGGCTTGCCCGTCTGGCCAAACTGCAAATAACTACTATCTAAATTTGCAAATATTAGGCAGATTTTGCACATGAATTGTTTAGAAATAGTGGTGGATAAAAATCTACTCAATTGAATTTAATAAACCAAGAAACACAATTAATAAACTACCACTTTAAAATATTTATTCGTGGTCGGGCGCAAGTTGGCACCTCTGTGTATATAAATAAAACTATTTTTGTGTGTTCTATATTGCATAATTTCTTCAAACCATTTTAGTAAGGATATTAATATAAAAAAAAATAAAAATTTACTCGAATTATGTGTTTTTAATAATCTTGGCTTAGTCGGTCACCGGTGACCACCGTGGTGCTACGAACAAACTCAGTGCCGGTAACAAGTGACCCGTATGGCATTCAACGTGCTAAATTAAATGACACACAAATTACGTTTATTGTATTGTGTATTGCCTTATGTAAATTAAAATATTACACAGAGTTTGCAAGTTTCAATACTGATATGCATTTTCTTTTAAAAATAAATTGTAACTTAAAAAAAAAAAAAAAAAAAAAAAAAAAAAAAAAAAAAAAAAANAAAAAAAAAAAAAATTATATATCTGTTTTTTTTTTAAATTTTTTTTTTTTTAAGAAGATCATTTCTAGTTTTGAACCCTTGGTGAATGTTTCGCTTCCTCAACTCTTATGACAGTTATGAAATTTTTTTTAACGGAATACATCTGTAAAATGAAGTCTAGTACAAAATTCCTTTTACATTCCATATTTTTCTTATTTATTTATTTTCACAAATTCAATAATATGCTGAATAACAAATGAAAGCATTATTGCTGGAGAAAGCTGCATGATTTTGTTTTGCTAAAGGGTCGATCGGACTGTGTAAGGGTCAGGGAGCTGGCATTGCATCAGGAAGGTTCAGGGTTCGAATCCCGGGCAAGACATGGATGTTGTTTCATTCTCCGTACTATCTGTCCTTACTCTGGGAGCATCGTTGGCTCCCCTAATAGGGTGCTTCTGAAAGAGTGGCCAACAAATCTGCCTTGTAAATGCCTGAATTGACGAAAGGTTTACACAGGTTGGCAGAGGGGGAAAAATGCTTTGCTAAATAAATCTGAAAGCTAAAGTTTTCTCTTTTTTTCCATCGGTTATATTATTGTGCTTAGTATAGCTGAGTTAGACTACCATGATTCCTATTCCTGCTAAACGGAAGCATGTAATATTGTACAAGTACAAATGCATACCTGCCAACTTTGAATCCTTTCTAAGAAGATTTTCCCCAGTGATAGTAAAATAGAATTCAAATTACAATTCTGTGCTGAAACATAGTTGTATTTAGCGGAGTACTACAGCAATATTGCATATTAATATATATGCTTCATTTTTATAAAAATAGTGGTGGTCAAAAAGATTTTCAATTAAGTTTATAAATGCAAGGAATATAGAGAAAGCATACATTTTACAACCACTTTAAATATAGAAATGAAATTTTACGCCAAATGCGTAAAAGTTGGCAGGTATGCAAATGGTTTATTCAAAAAATAAACAAAGATATAGCGATATTTAAGACATCTTCGTAAGTGAATATTAAAATACAATATCTTAATACTTCAACCAATATAATATATAAAATAGATTAAAACTCAGTAAAATTTAAATGCTATATTTTACTATGCTTTTTGAAAAAAAAATCAATTTTAAAATTTTTTTTGACGAAAATAAATTATAAAAGGATGTTACATTTAATAATATAATTTGAATTTAAAATAATTTGGCATAATTTGATTCAAATCTATATTTTTAAATCATACAATGTATTGACATTGAATAAAACCCATTTCATTTATTTACATAATGTTTATAAAACTAATTCTTTTGACAAAGTAGCGTTGCATACCCATATGTATATGTGAATCCCTTTATAAAGAATGCAATAGTTTCAGTGAAAGGGCTTTAGAATTTCTTTTAAATATATTTTAAAATCGTTATCAATTAAATTTGCAATAATAAATTTTCCCCAGACTTAACATTCTTTAAATTCCATTCGAACAACTAGGGAAGAGAAATAAATTTTTTTTAAAAAAAGGGAAGTAACTTTTTTTGACCCAACGTTACAAAGAAATTAATTAACTCTCTTTAAAAAACACTAATCTTAAAGTGAGTTTTTTTTTTGTTACAACACCTAACGAAAATTCTTGTAGAAATTGTTCAATCGGAAAAAAAAAAACGACATGTTGAAAGCCGGGCTGTAAAAAATTTAAGTAAAAAAAAAATTCCCTTGTCCCTCACTGATACATTTAAAAGAAGGAAAAAAAAAACACTTTTTGCTTCTGTGTCGAAAAACATACGATGGATTAAAGAATTTTCACTGCAACCGTACCGACTCTGTTTTGTCAGGATTAGTGTTTTTTATACCTCTTTTTTTATTTTTTTCTCCAGCTACTTTTACAATCCTTCTTAGAATTTCTTAGAACGTTTTTTATCGTCTCCCACGGTTCGGCTATCAATTCAATTTAAATTCATCGCCTTCAGCGTGTAAGTTTGCTCCTTTCAGTTAATTGTACAACATTTGTGAAAGATTAGCGTCTAAATTCGCCGTCTCGGCGTTTGTTGAGTGGGGGATTTCGAAACGATGCAAACTTTGTTTAATCATATTTGCCTATGCAGGTGTTTTTATTTTTAGCGTAGCCTTTTGTCTATCATATTTGATGGTTTTAAAATTAAAACCCTCCCCCCTTTTTTTATGTTATTTATGCGACAAAATGTTTTTCTTAGACAATCTCGACGAGTAAGTGATGCAAAATACATTCGACAGCGAGCTCAACGTTTTCTTTCTCTCCGAATATTTATATTATCAAACACTAAGGTTTAATTAAAATTTTTCAATTGTTAAGGGACGATTTGGAAATTAAAAACATTTGTTTTAAGTTTGCCATTTGGGCACTTATTATAACATAAAAGTATCTTTAAAAAAAAAAAAGGCAATTTCTGCTTGTCTGTTAAGACCCCATCTTTTAAATCCTAATTGTTAAACAAATTTCGTTTATTAATTAACAGTATTATCATACAATTTTTAATGTCGCATACTAGATTTAGCCTTGTTTGAATTTGCTTTTTTTTCAGCATTTCGTTTATATATATCAAAGCTATTTCGTATTTTTTATCTATAAATGTCAGCCAGTAAGGAAAAACGAGCGAAGTAACTAACACAGATGTTTCCCCATCTGCATTTGATTTAGAAAAAGAAAAAAAAAACATACGAATAAAAATTACAAATTACTTCTTTGGAATTTGATTTTAAGCATATTAGTTCCCTGGTTTCAGATTTCGTTACCCTGGGTTCAGACTTCGTTACCCTGGGTTCAGACTTCGAAGAGTAATCCCGAAGTCACATGCAAGTGAATAAATTCCGTTTTTGAAGTGTAAGCTTAAACTCGCTCCCTTCATGCACTTGTGCATCAGTGGATTCAGTTTCTGATGAGTTAGTACTAAGTCGCTGTTTTTATGTACTTGTGCGTCATAGGATTCAGGTTTCGAAGTTTGACCTTGAAGTCGCTGTTAGCAGGCACTTGTACTTATGCGTCTTTGATTTCAGTTCCCGAAAAGCGATCGAAAAGTCGCCGCTTTCATGCACTTGCACTTGTGTGTCATTGGATTCCGTTTTGAAGAGTGGTCTTAAAGTTTTAATTGCGCGTCATTGATTTCTGTCTCCGAAGAGTAATCTGAAAGTCACCGCTATCATGCACTCGTGCGTCATTGAATTCCGTTTTGAAGAGTAAGCTTAAAATTGTTGCTTATGCATTTGTGTGCTGTATTCAGTTTTTGTAAAGTGATATCAAAGTCGCTGTTTCTATGCACCTGTTCTCGTATATTGTTGGAATCACTTTTCCATTAATGAACTCAAAGTCTTGAAGAGTGGACCTTAAGTTGTACTTGAGCGTCCTTTATTTAAGTTTCCGAAGATTGATCGAAAAGTCGCCGCTATTATGCACTTGTACTCGTGCGCCATTGGATTTCGTTTTTGAAGAATGGTTCCAAAGTCTCCAGTGGCATGCATTTGTACTTGGAGCTCACTTGTAAACATAATCATGCTTACATATTTTCTTTAAAAAAAAGACAGGAAGAAAAGAAAAATAAAGAATAACTTAGTAGAATCTTTGTAAGAAAATCAGTCCTTAAAAATCATGGAGCTTTTATAAAGCATGTTTTGAGAAGTATTTTAAGAAGATTTATTATTCTGATTTTCTAATTTTCGCTACTAATTTAATTTAGTTCAACTTTCTTGTATACAGAAATATCGAATTGCTTGTAATGGTCACAAATGTACCAATCCTTTAAAAAAAATTATAATTAATAAAAATATAATATTTTTTCATTAATTATAATTCTTATTAAATCAGTGTTTTGATTTAACAGGAGAGCTACGACTTCTGTTGTATGCTTTTCAACATTGTCTTCTTGTGTCATTTTTCAGGTCATTCTCTTAGAAGAGTCCTGGAAGGACCTGTATCTTCTAAATATGGCCCAATGGTCAGTCACTCTAGACTTGTTGGGAACACTGCCCAGACCTCCTCTGGCACTGACCAGGGCTTCAGCGGAACAGAAGAGTGAGGAGACTGCGCATATGGTGGACATGCACTACGTTCAGGAGGTCATGCGGAGGTTTCGCCAGCTCTCTCCAGATGCAACAGAGTGCAGCTGCTTGAAGGCTATAGTCCTCTTCAGACCTGGTAAGTGGTCAGTACAAAATATAGTACATTCTAACTTGAAGTGGACGATAGGGCACACCATAAAGATTGCAGAATCATCCATAACGGAAACGTCATCATATCCCGTGACCTCCCAATTCTAAACTTGCTGTTCGTGCTCCTTTGAGCTAGTACTATTATTTTTTCTAACTTACTTTGTTTTAATGTTATTTCACATTTTTAATATTGTCCAAAATTGCATCAAAATGGGCTCACAAATAGCTGTTTTATGGTAATTTAGTCACACATTTTACCAGATTCCCAAGTTGGTCTACAAATTATTAAACTACGATTAAATAGTGGTTTTAGCTTAATTCATTGAAAGTTATATTCAATATATCTTAAGGTCCAGTCCGCGAATGTACATTTCTTTTATAATTATGCAAAAGGATCTTTTATAAAATAAAGTGGTTGGGTACTTATCCTTTGACTCAATGGCAATGTACTATCGTAAAGAGATACAGTATCTATAGCGTGAAAGAGCATGTGCATAGATATTCAAACTTGAAACGTACGTATCCGACAGAACCAAGCAGTACATCTTAAATATACATTTAAGAATAAATGCCTTGCCCCATTTATTTTTAGATAAAGGAACCTTTTTTTCTTGTATACTTGCATAATTGGGCGTGTCTTTTTTGCAAACAGAATTTTTCGATAGACTTAACGATAATATTACTTGCTATCACTTTCAATACTAAACTAAAAGAGATATACTTGGAAAAGTAGCTAATTTTTTTTAATCCCCATTAATAGATTTTTACTGTTTTAACTGTTCGATGTCTCCCCGGCAGAGTTCATATGGTTCTTAAGAGACTTAGAAAGTGGAAGCAACTGCAGTGCTGCCAAGTACTCGCTTTTTTGCAAAATGTTTAATAGAGGGGTACCCAATTAAAAGCTAAAGCTTTCAGCATTTTTATTAATTTTGTCTACATTTCTAAGCACTTGATTTAAAACACGATAGTGCCGAATTGAATGCACTGTGCAAAAAAAGCATCCTTTCATATTACGGCGGAGCCCTCAAAAAACAGCCTTTAAAAAACTTCTTTGATGAGAATAAAAGTTGACATTAAACCAATACGTAGAACATTAATAAAAATGCCATGTATGGTTTAAAAATTAATGTTCCTAAAATTTTTTAAATTTTCTTGATTGGAGATTTTTTGTTTTAGAAACTGTCGGCTTGTGTGATGTGCATCCTGTGGAAATGCTCCAGGACCAGGCTCAGTGCATTCTGGGAGATTATGTACGTCACAAATATCCTCGACAGCCAACTCGTTTCGGGAGACTTCTCCTGTTGATTCCATGCCTGAGGGCTGTGAGTTCTCAAGCAGTCGAGAAACTGTTCTTCAAGGATACCATCGGCGATATTCCCATTGAAAGACTCATTGGAGATATGTATCATATGGAAAGATTAGACTAAAAAGGTATGGGCCAATTGATAAAGTTTATGATGGACGCCTTTACAATGATAATGACGATAAGGCGCTTTTGTCTATTATTTTATGTACTATATAATAAAAAGTTTTGGCTACGTCATGAAATTTCTTAGTTTGTAATTAGTGTCTGTCAAAGTAAAGTAAGAACGAAATTGTAGTCTAAAACTATTTGCTACATATTGTTCCAAAGTTTTTAACACCTATTTATTGATTCATGATTTATTTTATAAATTTTTAATGCGTCTTATTGTCTTTATATGGTTCCAAGTTCTTTCTACTATTTTATAACTGTCGTTGAACAACTGGTTTTATGACTAGTCATGTTCAGCTCCGGATATTCCCATTGAATTGAAATTTTGAACCCAATCCAGAAGTCAAGGAATTCCTAGATCAAACATTGGGAAAAATTTACCTTCGTTAAAGACTTTTTGAAGGAACTAACCTGCACTAGCGCTCCATAGAGAGAAAAACCAAGAAAACCTCCCAAGGTTAGCCTGACGGCAAGGGGACTCTAACCATGATCAGTTCACTGAGGTTATTTTACGTCAGCAAAATATTTTATACAGTGGTAGAAAATAAAAAAAACCAAAACTCTCAGAATTTTCAGTAATTTTGTCAACAACATTTTAAAAGCATCACCATGAAAGCGGTAGCGTTGCAACTGAGCTTTTAAATCACTAATATATACTGGTGTCGAAAATAAGTTCAAAATGAATAAAAAATGCATTAAAAACATAAATTTGGAATAAATTTTTACAAAAACGGTAGGAAGTTGGCGGTCCTGCTTTTAACCTATTCGAGACTGGTGAGTCATACATGAATTCTCAGGGTGGCGATAATCTAGTTGGAAAAAAAAACTGGTAGGCAAAATATTTCTATAGCAGTTAATTTGGGGGGGGGGGTAATAATAGTTTGATTTACTTTAAACCCCTACTTAATTCAAAATAAAAATTATACAGTTACACTTTGAATTATCATTCATTAGATATGTTCAATTAAAGTGAAAGCAAAAATAAGATGGTCAAATTATAAAAAAGAAACCATGACCAAATTTAAACAACCAATTTATTTTTTTCCATCCTGATTCTGATTCCGTACGGATACATTTGACTCGCCTGTCCCGAAAAGGTTAACACTTTGCTCACTCGTTCCTTCCCAGCTTATAGCTCAGTTTATTTCATCTTGCTGTCGTCAGTGTGGAAAAAAAAATATCCTCGATTTCGTGACAACATACATAGTTATTTCTTAGAATAAGATAAGAGTTTTGATTGATTTCTAAAAAAAAAGGAAGATTTTGTAATTAATATTTTGATTTTTCCTCTCTCCCATTGTTTATTTTTGGCACTTAAACATGATTCTAAACATGATCTGCAGTTTCTGACAACATCCGAGTCTTTTGTCCTCCCAGGAAGATATATATCATGTCACCTTGTTTAATGTAACTTTTGTCTTTCATCTAATCTATCATCAATCAAATTGGCTTTAAAGAAAAAGATATGAAAGCGAAAAGTCTATCCGTTTTAGTAACATCAATTTTCACGGTCCAATTATCAAGACATAAACCCCCCAATATCTTCGGCCTTCTATATTTCTAGTCCAGTAAATACGTCTTTTTTTAAAAAAAATTAATATCCAAGATTATTATTCATCGACAGTTTTGTTACGTACTTATAAATAATGACTCGGAAGTCTCTTCTGAACGCTACCATTTTTAGAGACAGAATAAAATTTCTCTTAGACAGGTACTTGAGGTTGTGTTCCCAAAGTATATTTTCATGCTGAATTGAATACGGCCAATCCCTATAAACCATACAGCTAATAGTTTATAAGTCATGAGGGTTTTCTGTACCAAAAAAATAATTATAAATAAATAAAAATACAGTTTTGAAGCTGGCATTGTGATTTAAAGAAGTGAGGTATTCTTAATTATCATTTTTTGAGGGCTTAATCGAATAAAACTATGCAGAAGTTAATTTAACCAATAGTTTTAAAGTTATGAGGAGGTTTTGTGTATTAAAAAGTACTTTTGATGCGTATGAATGTACAATTTTGATCTAATGATCGCGCTCATTCTTAATGGTTCAAGAGGGCGACCACAAATATGCTAATTAATTAGTGCAGACAATATTTTAAGTTACAAAATCAGATACAAAAACATATTTTTTCTGGATTAACATACCTTTTTTTCCAGATGGATTCGAATTCGACCCCCAAACTATTGGGGTAGTCGCGATCTGGGAAATATGGTCCCCGTAGTTTGGACAGGAAAGCGATCCATAGTTTGGACTCCTTAATGTTAATTTTACTTTTAACATATTTTTCCCTATCTCGAGAACTTTTAAAGCGAATTGAAAATTCTTTGCAGACAATTAAAAATTCGTTTATTCAACGATAATTCCATGAAATAAATAAATAAATTTTAGTATATATTTATTTATTTTGTTTATTTTATTTAACAATAGTTGAAAAAAATTTGAATTTTTGGGTATACAATTTTTAACATTATTTTAAAGTATGTAATTTTACATTGTAGAGTACAAAATTTAAGCGAAATCGGTAAAGTATTTCCTAAGAAATCAACTTTTTAAAAGAATATGTTTAAAATTCGATTTTCAGAAATTATTCAATCGATTTTTCGCTCCAATTTTGCGTTATTATTATCATATTTTTATTATATTTTTATCGTATTATTGTTATATTTATCGCAAAATTACGTATTTTAAGTGATGTAAAAAATTGTGTACCTGACTTCAAAATTTTATTCACTATTATTAAAGAAAATAATAAAAAATAATAAATATTTACTAAAACTTATTTTTTGCGTTGAATTATCTTAACTAAATGAATTTTCATAATTGTGGTGCAAAAATTTATAAATTCGCTTAAAAAGATCTAGACATATGACAAACTACGCAAGAGGTAAAATTAAATTAAGGAGTCCAAATTATGGGATAGTTCTCCTGATCAGACTACGGGGACTATATTTCCCAGTTTGCAGCTATCCCTTACATTTTGGGAGTCAGAAATCTGAATTTGTTGAAAAAAAGTATGCTCATTTAGATAAAGTATGTTTTTGTGTCTGATTTCGTAACTTAAAATATCGTCTGCACTAATTAATTAGCATATTTGAGATCACCTTCTCGAACCATTGATAATGAGTCCTAGAAAGTGAAAATCCGTTCATTAGATCAAAAGTTATTCAGTGAAGTCCGTTTTTTCTTCACTGTACAGGTCAAAAGTAGCACTTTTTATAGATAAAATCGCTTTCAACATATAAACTATTCGTTTTATAGTCACATTTGATTCAACGTAAAAAAAGGAAAAAAACTATATAGGGAACTAATATTATTTAATTCATATAGAAATTTCAGATAATTAAATAGGTACAAGAACAAAATTGTACATTAAACGATTATAACTTCTACACTAGATAACAGTTTGATTATCCCGAAATTGGTCTTTTTTAACTCAGCCACAAAAAATACACCGAAAACAATACCTAAAAAACGCATAGTTTACGTGGTTACATTAAATATACCTATACTCTGTCGCAAGTTAAAAAACCCCCATTTGTTGGCATCTCAGTGCACGCCAAATGGATGCCAAGCTCCCAGCCCGGAAGTATTTCAACATTGTAAGTCTTTAAACGTTGTTGCACAGTCTTCTTTTTAATTGCTTTCTTATTAACCCGTTTTGTCCCGAATTAATGTATTGAAATGATATAAAAAGTGGTTTTATGGTAAAAGTGGTATAATATATTATCGAAATTAATTGTTTTTTCTACTTTTAGGGCATTCAAAAAGTCTATGATAGATATAAAAGTACTTGCTTCTTATAATTCTAGATCTAATAAGAAATAACTAAATCATTGTGGTATCTGTGAATCTTTTAATTCACACAGATAAATGAAAATCCTAAAAAAAGTTTCCCACCACAATGAATGTCTTTGAAAAAAGGAACTGTCCTAAATATATGACATTGGGCGTTAACCGGTTAACAACAGTAATCAATCAACAAGTAATAAGAATTAATAAAGATGATATCAAATTGTAACAAATATGCGTTTTTTGTTCACATTTAAGGAAACTGATGAAAGAATAATAAATATTGTTTCTATCCTGCGATTTTCTTCTATAGCAAAAAAAAAAAGTGAAAATTCCTAATCTCGCATTTGATTTGTAAAGAGCATGTCAGCATTAGACGCGCTATTTTTAATGGTCCAATCAAATACAATGCTCTTTCAACGTCATATAAATGTTTCCTTTTCAAGAACGAATTTTCTTCTTTGTTATCGAAATTTGTCGTCACGTCTAGAATTCCAATAAGACTACGAAACTATAACCTTTTTTTTTTTTAATAATTCCATGATATATATCGTAAAAGGCATCACGAATTAAATTTATGACTAACGTGTTTAACTTTGAAAAGCTTTTATATTGTTTTAAAAGCATATTTTTTATAATTTGATTATGAAATAAAACTGAACTATATACAGTCACGGATGATTACTTAAATCATATGCAGCAATGGTCTTTCCTTAACTTGCAATGGAATATAGATTGATGCGACCAATTGATGTTATTTGTTTTGATTAATAATTCCTTTAGTTTAGTTGCAATATAAACATTTAAAATACTGCATCTGATGTAGTTTCATTTTATTTTTCAGATTTTCTCCTTACAAATGCTGTAATTATTCCTTTCAAAAAAAAAGTTTCTGCATAAATGTGAATCCTCAACCTTCTCCGATGCATCAGTTGGAGATGATCACAATCAGGCGTTGATACGCTCTAAGAACTGTTAAGCCAGCTTCTGTTGAATTCTGAAAATTAAATGTATTGAATAAGAAAGTCAATTTTTAAATAAATGTACAGTGTTCAGTGTTAATTGTATTTTATTATTTATACACTGTCAGCAACCAATTGGTTCGTCTCTCAAATGTACCTTTTGGTATTAAAACGTTATCCCAATATTTTTATTTCCCTTTTGTATTATTATTTCTTATTTTATTCCATCAATACTCCTACATTTAATTCAAATTTAAGTTCATCTTTTGACCCCCTAAACCCTTTGACCTTTTCAAAGGTGGTTGGATCAAAAAATATCTCGATTATTTTTTGACTCTGATATAAAAAAATTTATGTAGTTTTTAACTCTTAATTGGTCTCCCCGTATAACGTACATGCAACAGACATGCAAACTTTTTGCGAGGACGATTTTAACAAGTATATATATATACGAT